CCGCGCCTCCCGTCCCGCCGCCGCCGCCGCCTCCCTAGGCTGCACGGCGAGGTAAGGCCGGCCTGGCGAGGGGGGACCTGCGGGTGGCCCTGCGAGGGGACGCGAGACCGGGCTCGGGGCCGTCGTGGGCCTCGGGGTCCCCGGCTGTCTGGGGAGACCTCTGCTGGAGAGAGCTGCCCATCTGCGATAACACGCCACTGGTAATTTACCCATTAGGTACCCCAGGGACCGAGCTTGGCCGACGATCCCCGCCCCATAAGGGACCTCCGCCAGTGGTGGAACTCTGGCTCCCACGTTCTGCGGGGAACCACCTCATCTGGGGCTCTGGCTGTCCTTTAAGGAACACACCAGACACAAAGGGGACGAGGGCAGCCAGGAGCAGTGCCAGACCTGGAGAACCAGCCTCTGCAATGGGCAGCAGGGCTGCCTCGAGCCTGGGGCGGGGGTCCTGGCGTCCCTGTTGGCCCCCGCTGGAGAGGCGCTCTTCTTCGGGGTTCTCAGCACGTTTTTCTGCCTGTACCTGCCACACCCTCTCCCCCATGCCCACTGTTGGGGACACTTGTGGCAGCTGGACTCAATCTCAGCACCTGTGGTCTGGCTTCTTGAATTGAATGCCAAAATGCCATGCCTCAGTTTCTCCAGAGTCCTGGGTTCTGGGCCAGCTGTGTCCTTGGAGACCTTGAGCTAATTATTTGCCTTTTGGACAGCGTCTTTCCTGAGCGCTCCCTACCTGGTAAACATTTTGCAGAATGGCTCCTCCGGATTTATTCAATCCTTCCCAGAGGGATGGATATTAATATGCTCATTTTATAGATGAGGCTCACCCCAGCTTGCAGTGGCAGTGCTTTCGGTGCCTTTCCCATAGTTTGCCAGTGGGTTTTCCTCATTCTAGCCCATCGAACCCACTCCATGGCCCGTTTGACAGATGAGGAAACAGGCTAGGGAAGGTGAAGTGATATTCTTTAGGTGGAGGGGAGAACTTGGCCCTGGGACCAGAGAGAGGCCAGGCTCTCTCCTGCTTCCTGCCTGGCCAAAGACTGTTGAATCAACAGCAGTACCCACAGTGGACTCTGAACTTCTTGGAAAACAGCATGAGTGTGAGGAGATAAGTGGGTGACCAGGCCCTCCCAGAGACGAGCCCGCACCCCTGCTGCTTCCTGCCCTCCCTCTCCCTTTTTTTTTTTGCTGGGCTGGAGGAGGTAAGGGTGATGGGCAGAATGGGGTTCTGTGCTGGCCGGTGACCCTGGGCCAGGCTGGCCCCATCTGGGCAGTAGGGGAGGATGGCTGCTGAGCCATGAGGGAAATTGCTCTTCCTTGGGCCTTAATGGGGTGGGGACATCCCAGGATCAGCCCCTTTGTGCTGGTTGCCTGGAGCCTGTGACTCTGGGCACAGCATTGTGCCTTTGGGCAAGTTACTTAACCTCTCTGTCTCCATTTTCCACATCTATGAATGCGGGTTGATGAACAGATCCCTTCTTACGGGGCTGTAGAGAGATTTCAGAAGATAACTGTCTGATTCATTCTACAGGTATTTGAACACCAACTGCATGCCGGGCACTGGAATTCAGGCAAAAACCCCCTGCCCTCCTAGAGTAGGCAAAGATGACCCAGGTAATTTCAGGTTGGGGTGTAGGAGAGTGACTGCAGGGGGAGGGCCTTGCATACTGAAGGTCAAGCTGAAACTGAAGGATGAGAAGTCAGCCATGTGAAGATAGGAGAAGGGCATTCCAGGCAGACGGAACAGCCAGGGCAAAGGCTGGTGTGTTTGAGGAACAGCAAGGAGGCCAGGGTGGCTGGAGCTTAATGAGCAAGGGGGAAGAGGTTGGGGAAGGGCACTTGGAAGCCATGGGGAGGGCTGAATTTAATACTGGGACAAGTAGGGAGTCATGGGAGTGTTTAGAGTAGAGGAGGGGTGTGGTTGGACTTATCTTAACAGGATCCCTCTGTGGGGAATGGATTGTAGCGGGGCCAGGGGAGGGGCCGAGGAGGGAGTTTGGCTCTTACCCTGAAGAACAGGGGCAGGGAAGGGGCAAGGGTGGAGGCAGGGAGACAGTGAGGAGGCTACTGCAGCTGTCGAGGCGAGTGATGATATGGACCAAGGACGGGGAGGTGGTAGAGGTCAGAGATATTAGGCCACTGATTTGGAAGAGGTTGGGATGGGGGGGGGATCAACTGGGCTTGATGAGTGCAGAGTGGGGGGGGGGAGAAGGCAAAGCCGTTTGCTGTGACAGAGAGTGCTGAGGGGAGCATTTGGCCAGGCTGAGAGGAATATCAACATTGCCACTGCTGCGTGTGTAGTGTGTGTCCAGCACCATGCTCAGCACCTTCTACAGAGTCACTGTGTCATATCACAGCACCCTGACGTAGGTGCTGTCATGATCCCGTTTTACAGATGTGGAAACAGAGGCCCAGAGAAGCTTAAAGCTTGTCCAGGGTCACACAGCCTGGACACTACAGAGCTGACGTCTGAACCCAGAGAAGAGCAAGCCGATACCAGACTGGGCAGAGGGCAGGGAGGCAAGCAGTGGCCTGCAAGGTAGGAGGGTGATGGGGCAAGTAGGGTGGGTGGTTCCTGTGAGAAATGGAGCCAGGGTCCACATGGAGTTGTTGGGGTGTGAGGGAGAATGCATGAGTCCTGTTTTGCAGAGAGGGGAACTGAGGCTCAGAGCAGGGCCACGTGTCTGAAGTCACTCAGCTCAGGTAGGCAGAGCAGGGATTAAACACCCTGAGCCCTCAGGGCCTCTCTCTGACCTTGGCGCCACTGCTAGGTCAAGACAGGCTGATCTCAGCTACTAAATCATAGCTCGTGTTGCCTCTTCCAGGAAGCCTGCCTTGACTGTTCAGGCAAGTTAGATGAGGTGTATTCAGTTGGGAGCAATCGTTCCTCTCTGCTCTGGGTCAGCTTGCCTGGCTTGGCAGATGCTCCCAGGAGAGTCACCAGCCATACCTCATTCCTCCAGGCCTTGAGTAAGGCAGCACCCAGGCTGAGGAATGAACATTAACTGAGTACCTTCTGCAGTCCAGGGACTTTACATGCTTTGCCTCTTGAAAAATACAGCCACTATCCTATGCAGAGTGGGGCTGTGAAGCCCAAACAAAGAGGCCATGAAAAACTCCCAAGGGAGGGTACGGCTATGTTGGGGGTCCAGGTTCCACCTCCCAGTTAGTCCCATCTGGCCAGTGTTGCCCCCATCATGTACTCCTTGGGGGAAGGTGGATAAATATCACTGGGCCAAGTGTATAGAGTTAGAGTCTTCCGCTTTAAGTGGGTACCTGGTGCTCTCCCCATTCCCTTTCTATAAAAAAGCCCTGGGCCTTTAATCTGGGTCACTTCATAATAGTCTTTTCTGCCTCTCCCCTTGCCCCTCTGCTCTGGCCTCACCAGCCTCCTGGCTGTTCCTCAAGCGCAGCAGTGGGTTCCTACCTCAGGGCCTTTGCACTTGCTCTTCCCTCTGCTTGGTATGTCCCTGGGACTCCCTCCCTCACCTCCTTCAGGTCTCTGCTCAGATGTTACCTTCTCAGTACAGCCTTTCCTGACTCCCATTAAAGTCAAACATTCCTTTTGTCCCTAACACCCCGGCCCCTTCCCTGTATTATATTTTCTACAGCACTGAAGACCACCTGGGAGATGTACTTTACCTGTTTGTTAATTGTCTGCCCCTTTCCCCTGCCACTAGCATAGCAGTACCCTGAGGGCAGAGATCCTCTCTGTCTTGTTTATGGTTGTACTCCCAGTGCCCGGAACGGCACATGTGGGTGTTTAACAAATGTTTGATGAATGAAGGCCCTGCAGATAAGTTCTGTTCATGTCCCCGTTTCATGATGGGCAAATCAAAGCCGAGTTATAAAGGCAGAGCTGGGACCTGGAAGGGACCACAAAGCGACAGCCGGTCTGGTTTCTGGGGATGATGAAAACATCCACCCCTGAAATGAGGCCTGGGTTTGAATTTCAGTTCTGCCCATCTTGCTTTGTGACTGCCTGAGAGTGACTAGCCTTTCTGTCCCTTGTTACCCCACCTGTCAAATAGGGGTGGTGCGAGGCCCTGCCCACCGGGGTTTGCTGCGAGATGAAATGAGTACGTGTAAAATGCTTGGCCTGCAGTAGTCATCCTCCACCTTACCTTGCGGAGGCTTCTGGGGCCAGTGAGCCCCGAGTTTGGGCCCCGGCTCTGCTGAGGAGCTGCGTGAGCGCGGCCAGGCCGCTTCTGCTCCAGGAGCCTCAGTTTCCTCACCTGTGCGAGGGGCGTTGAGGGCCGCCGGTGGCCGAGGGTGGTCGCGAGGTCACGGCGAGGCGCGGCGGTGAGGGTGGTGGTGGTGGGGGGGTGGAACCCGGTGGCGGTGGCCATGGGAGTCACGGCTCGCTGTCCTGGGGGGGGGGGACAGGCCCCGGCGCGGCCGCCATGAAGCTGAACGAGCGCAGCCTGGCCTTCTACGCCACGTGCGACGCCCCGATGGACAACGCGGGCTTCCTGTACAAGAAGGGCGGCCGGCACGCGGCCTACCACCGCCGCTGGTTCGTGCTGCGCGGCAACATGCTCTTCTACTTCGAGGAGCCGGCCAGCCGCGAGCCCGTGGGCGTCATCATCCTGGAGGGCTGCACCGTGGAGCTGGTGGAGGCCGCCGAGGAGTTCGCCTTCGCCGTGCGCTTCGCGGGGGCCCGGGCGCGCACCTACGTGCTGGCCGCCGAGAGCCAGGCCGCCATGGAGGGCTGGGTGAAGGCGCTGTCGCGGGCCAGCTTCGACTACCTGCGGCTCGTGGTGCGCGAGCTGGAGCAGCAGCTGGC